AACTTGCAGTGCAAATAAACAACAAGAGGAATCTTATCACAAAATTACTATTGCGAAATCCCTGGGTTTACGCACTTCAAATGTATTATATGATAAGGCAGTAACGTGGTGCGCAGAGTACCTTCGTGGTGTTCCTGTTATTGACAAAATGGCACAATTTTCCGACAGTCACTGAACACTGTGCGATCCGGAGTGCCTAATAGCCCACCTTGTTTGAATTATTTCCCTGGCACATTCCTCACTGTTCAGATATCCGTAACTGAGTTTATTAGGCCAACACCCTGCCCTAGGCCAACACGCTGCCCTTTGAAGTGGAATACTTATCGCGGTAGAACACAGAGTACTTTCCCTATTGGGTGCTTGAAAAGAATCCAAAACGGAAGTTTGGTTTTGGATAAACTCCAGAAAATATCTTGGTAGGAAACGGGGATGAGAAACGCCTCCTCCGTAATTCAGGCAACCTTGTAGTAAATTCGAGGGAGACTATGGGGCAGCGGTATAGAGAAGGACCCCACTTAACTGTCAGTGGACTGTGGATCAAGCCATACGTGATTTATGGTAAAGGGAGTTTTATGGGTGGGGCAGCACTCTAGACAGTATGCTGACAAAATGAAAAAAAACACAAAAATTGCCTGAATTTATGCCGAAAGTCTTATCTTATGCTATTGTACGACAACGGAAATGAGAGTAGTAATTAAACAATAAACAAAAAGTAAATTTCGCAAAATAGTGGATATTGAGTTAATGTGTGGGGTCGTGGGAAGTAATCGTTGTTGGCAGTGTAATTTCTGCAACAGCCTGCAAATGTTTGCCACGATAAAACTCCATACGACACGACGCACAGTCTACTGACAGTTAAGTGGGGTCCTTCTCTATACCGCTGCCGACTATGGTTAGAGTGAAGTTGAGGGTGACGACATCTAGGGCACGGAAAGAGGTATCCTTCCTGAGACTTGGCGCAAGCCCCCCCCCGCATTACAAGAGGGTTCTTATCCCAGTGCCTTCTCCAACATGAAAAATTGGCTTTTCAGGTGTTCTTTGAAGACAATGCAATTGAATCCTTGACCTGAATTAAAAACGGGAGGATTATAGGCAATGAGAATAGGTACCTGAATGGAGTAGCATGGGACACCACACTCAGCAACACACCAGACACATGTTTTGTCCGCATTCTGGCTCTGCATGACACAGATTTGAGAGTTTCGGCTCATCAACTGGTCCCCCAGCGTTCCCCCTGAGCTTTTCTAGTAGTCGTTCGCATTTTGAAATATGTACCGCCCCTCGTATGACAAGTGGCCTGACCCTAAATTCTAGGGGGGGGGGGGCAAATTTGAGGCTTTGGGGTCGGTGTCAGAGTTAGCATTGAAGTTAGTGTTCAAGTAAGGACACAGGAATTAGTAACTACCCTGGATATTACCACAAGACCATTGTTAGTTCCGGGGGGGGGGGAGGGCTGGTACCCATTCTCCTATGTACGCAAATGCTGGGCTAGAAACATGGAAGTATATCAGTTTCAAATATACAGTAGATCTGCTAACTCATGCAATGTCAACCGAAATTCTGAAATGCGTCTTCGTTTCGAAAAGGTCATTTAAGTGGAGTTGTAAAATTAATCATAGTGGAGCAACATTTTATAATAATTCAGTTACCTCGAGATGTTGGCTTCCGAACGAACTTCTTTCGGCCGCATGCAAAAAACCTCAATCTGTAAAAATGACAACTTAAGTAGCATGAATTTCTTCCATTTATTTCCGGTGTCCTTACAAATTCAATCATATTCCATGGAAAATGGCGTTTTCTACGGATTTTATCATCAAAGGATGGGTATAATTCGACTTCGAAAAATTTTCTAATTATAAGATTTTTTAAGACCGTGAAATATCCGTTCATAAAACACCGTGCCTCTGCATTTGCTGAAGTTGCTTGTAAAGTTTACAATATGGTTCAAATCCACTACCAAATTTTTTTACCCCATATGGTCTCCTCTTAATGTCGTGAAGAAATGCCCGGTTTTCCATACGCGGAAAATGTATGGCTTGTAGTTCGGAAACCCTATATGCAAGTTTAAAGCCAGACTGGACTCAAAATTATTGGGGAATTAGAAAAGTTCTTGAAGACCGAATTTTACCCTTCTTTTAAGTATAAAATTTAAAGTAGAGGTAATTTTCTACTAAACGAATAAGAAAATGAATATTTTATGCATGTTTTCCATGAAATATAATTGAATTCGTAAGGGCACCGAAAATCAATGAGAGAAATTAATGCTACTTAAGTTGTCATTTTTACAAAGTGCGGTTTTCGCACGCGGTCGGAAAGAAGTTCATTTAAAAGCCGCCATCTCGACGTAACAGAATTATGATAGAATTTTGCTCCACTATGATTAATTTCACAATCCTATTTAAGTAGTCTTTTCGAAAAGAAGACCCACTTCTGAATTTCGGTTGACAGTTCATGATTTGGCATACCTACTGTACTTAACAATTCATTTACAAACATCACATCTTAGATCTTCAAAAATATGTACCTTAAACATTTCCTTCAAACCTAACGCAAATATCATTCCTGGCCCACGTGGAAAGTGCCTAATATTTCAGTGGGAGTTTAAGCGAATATACATGCAGGTATGTCAAAATTTATCTTTATTTCAAACGTATTTATTGCTTGTTTATAGCCTGTTTACAACGTTTCCAGAAAAAACAATTTTCTACAAGATCAATGACGAAATGGAGCAGAACGCGCATCTTGAGGATGAAATTACTGAATTTGAGCAAACATAACGAAAAAACATAAGCATTACGTACGCGGTTGACAACATTATAAACCAAATGCAGGATGCATTGTTTTCTGAGTGAACTTTGGTTTTTAGTCTTTGCCACGCAGGTCAGCAGGCTTGCTCAGAGTGCTTTTCTATTTAGGGTGAAATTTTTTTGGGTATTGGCTTTTTAGGCCAAATCATTAACATTTAGACGACCGTCATTTCTTCTTGAATGTCTGATTGATATGTCTGCGAAGGATTTGAAGCTATCCGGCTGGCTTTCTTATGATAGTAATTTCATTCCATCTGACCCCTACGTCAGATTTATAGTAGGTATTCGAACTCTGTAGTCACTTAAGTCTAACAATTCAGGAGCGACAGTTTATTCACGCTCTCTGCAAGGCTATAAACTGGATCTCTTATTTGCATTTGGGATGAACTGCGCCGAGACGGAGTGCTTTTCCTTTTTTACACCGGCAGTGGTGCCTTCTCAGTATGCATTTTTTCCCAAGAACGACCATTCTCTTTGCAGAATGAGAGACAGGACTGTGTATGCAGTCGATTTTAAATAGGTTAATTTAACTTGTTTTAATAACCGAAATTCTTAAAATTCCGCACACGTGATGTCGACATCCAGGGCTGGGACCGTGAATATGTTAAGTCCTCTTGCAGAAACGGAATGGCTCTGCAGTGCAGGCGGGTGTTTATTCATTCTTTTGTTTTTGCAAAGCTAAGGAAGAGTACGACAACAGAGAATATTGAATGGCCATAAATTTATCATACCCATTTCACTAGTGAATGTTCTTGATCGTCTATGCGCTTTGAAATCACAAACAAGATTATGATGTGGAGATCGGAAATTACTCAGATTCGAATTTAGAATCGAATTTAACTAACATTCTCTGCTTGTTTAACTTGGCGGTTTGAAAGGGCCCGATGCGGAATCCGTTTAGGAATAAGGTATTTACTTAATTACAGAGATATAAAGGCAGGTGATTGCGAAAACGAAGGGTCGTTTATTCTCCCCACTCGACTCCTGGCATACTGCTGCCACAGTCTACAAAAACTTGACGGTTTTTGCTGACAGTATGTCACTGCAAACAAGCAGAGAGTGTAAGCTCAATTCGATTTTAAAATTCAAATCGGAGTGATGAGCAATCTCCGCATCATATGGGAAGTAATACAAACCAAAGTAAGGGACACCGTAACAGTCACTCCAGACTGAGTGATTTTTATCGTAGATTTAACGTTTGGGCTTGCCTAGACCTCTGCAAGACACCCCGTGCTCAAAACAGAGTGTCCATACAGAGACAACATACGCATCTTTCAGTTTTTAATCTGGCCGTAAATATAAGTTCCTAGAAAGTGTGTCGTCGTTCATTTTTACACGAAATGCTCAAAAGCCTATATCTAGCGAATGAGGCGCTTATTCGGTCCTCTTACAATGTGTTTGCTGACGTTCCGTTTTTGATCGTCGTAAAGGACAGTTGAGGCAGGTTGGTTAAACGCGGTTTTAGTGTGCAAAATGTCCATAAGAACTGATATACTATTCACCGTCATTTCCGAGGATTTTCTAAATGCAAAAATCTTTTTCTGCTTAGCAGTATTCCGGATTTCGTTTGACCACCTTTTCACCTGCTCGGGTAAATTCCACCGTGACGAAGTTTATTACAGAACAGTTTGTTCTGTTTGCATTTGATCACTGTGTTCGTACAAAACCAAGCATATCTGGGGAACAATAGCATTTACTTCAATTGTCGTCGTTTAGTGAGGGGTGAACTTCGACGGCAGACACATTTGAAATGATGAAAAACATTGGGACATCGATATGATTGTCAACTTAGCTTAACATTGAACAACGCGTTTCACGTCCCCTGTAACAATGATGAACAGCACGAGTTCCCATTACAGGCAACTCAATGGTCTGCGAATATCTGAGGGAGAAAGTGCCTTGTAAAACATTTGGTTTATGCAAACCATAACTAAGTCCCCTTAATGGCTATTTGACAAGGAAAAGTATGTATTGAGTGCTGGAAAAATATTGTATTTATATTAATGTGAAAAGGTCTGTTTATAAGAATAAAATAAAAGCATTTGATTTGATGGCGTAAACAAGAGTCCCTTGCCTTTTAGATGAGTGATAAAAAATGTAGATATGTCGGCGATTCAAGTTCTCAGGAAAAAAGACGAGGTAAGAAACTTAATTAAGGGTAGAATCACGTGAAGATTTCATTCTTCGGGAACTTTATGCAAATGTAGGAGCGGGCACCGTGGCCTCTTCGAGGTGTTCAGACTTCCTGTCTTTGTTTTCAGGATGAAATCCACTCTCGACTGTGTTGTGTATCCTTTCCGGATGAAGCTTTTGTCCTTCCTTTGCAATGGCGTTTGTTAAAGTCGCAACCAGTTCTTTCCGTTCATGGACTTCATGCTCCTTACTGATGATGGCCTTAGCCAGAACCGATTCCAATTCCTTCTCAGTGGGCTGCACCTTATCCGACTTTTCGCTGACAACAGCTATCTTCTCTTGAGTAACTTTGTCATCACTATCTTCTGCAGTAGTCGTCCGGCTCTCTGCCAATTGGTGTTCGGGATGCGACTCAGTGTTTTTATGTTTGATGGACTTGGCCAGGGCAGACATGAGTACTTCACGCGATTCTGTGTTTTCGGGCTCCTGGTGAAGTGCCTTGTCAGTAAGCTCTACATCTGATGACTTTGATGTTGACTCGTGAGAGTGTGCCGCCGACGAATCATCAGAACCATCGGAACCATCTTCTTCCATCTTCAGGACGTCAATCAGAGCGCTAGCCTTGTGGCGCTCGGTCTCCTTGGAGGGCTGATCTGTCGCGAGCTTCGAGCCTGGAGCGGCTGTGGACACAGCCACCTGATCATCCGCAGGATGCTTCTTCTCTGATTGATTCGACGCGGATATAATATCTTCGACGAGTTGGCGAGCCTCGTTCTGCCGCAGTGGAGACTCCACACTTGGCTTTGAATCGGATGTCTTCTCACCCTGACTGTTAGCAATATTACTCATCATTAGTCTAGCCCTTCCATGACTCGCTTGAATTGAAGCCAAACTGTGTTCAATGGTTGATTTCACGCCTTCTGAAATTGTGGGCTGCACTGGCGAGGTGGGTGAATTTGGGCCTGAAGTGGTTCCAGAGGGAGTAGACTCAGTCTGTGGTGATTTGGGTTGACTCTTAACTGGCGATGTTACGAGGTCTTGAACAGGCTTTGATTCATACGTAGATGCATTAGCTGGGGTCTCCACTGGTGAGGCATGGGAAAGTTCTACGGGTGTGGATTCCGGTGTTGGTGCGTTAAACTGACTCTTAACTGGCAAGACCTCGACAGGCTTTATAGTTGTAGGTTCGTCCTCTCGTAACTTTGATGGGCTCTTAACTGGCGACTCTGCAGAAGCCGGAGACTTCTGTGGAGGGTCAACTGCACGGACATTGTTCGAGGGTGCATGATCGGGGCTCTGGGGAGTGCTGTCCTGGCGAAAACTCGCAGGCAGTGGAGTTCGCGTTGGGGTCTTTTGAGCCTCAGATTGCAACTCTACCGGCCGCGTGCCGCCACGTTCGGCTGGAGGGGCTGCCCGTTTCCATCGCAGTGATCTCCGCAGGGAATCGCTGAATCGCTGAAACGTGGTCTGCTGGCCCTGATGATCGGAGTGTTCGGGCTGGCTGTGTTGTGAGGATAGAAACTGTCCCATGGCAGAAAAAGGAGGACAGAGAGAGAGAGGGGTCACAGTTAGCGTCAAGACTATAGCACAGCTAGAGTCGGAGATGGTAAAATGTGTCGTGTAGGCCACAAGCTGACGCGCAGATTTGATAGGACCGTCTTAGCCAATCATGTGCTACCAAAGACACTTTCACCTCTGTTACGAGCAATTCAAACACAACTGCGGCTTCACTACGCGCATGCATGTTTTGGGCTCACAATCAGAACCACTTATGAGGCAGGTGACGCTGCCGTGGTGCGCGACTGCAAGCCTAGTTAAAACAGCTTACTCTCTGCTGAGGGACGGGCATAGAAACCAGAGTTGTCAACATACATATTAAGCTATCACATGATCCGTTTGCGCTCCAGTGTAACCACTGGTTAGCTTGCTTCAGTGGCTAAACGGAGAAGACACCGCACAGGAGACCACGAGGAAGGTATTTCACATGCACACACATGGCAGCGCAATTCACCACAGTATTAACACACCTAGCACACCTTACAAGCCCACACTATCTAGCCTAATCAGCACTCCGTCGCCCAGCGCGCCCACCAATAGCAGCATCGCCGCCGCCGCCGCCGCCGCCACCACCACCACCACCACAACCACCACAACCACCACCACCACCACCACCACCACCACCACCGCCGCCGCCACCACCACCACCACCCCCCAAACCGTTTCTCCAGCTCTCGATTTATCTTTATCACACCTTCACCGGACATTCACATCATGTATCTGCCCTGTCGGTCACTTGCGAATCCATCGCACAGAAACTGGCGAACAAGTGCCTGGAGCAACAACGACAGTTCTACCGTAGTGAGCCGACGATGTCCACCGTCTGCTCCACCACAAGGTGAGACAGCAGCATACGCACTTCGCATACGCCTGCACTGTCCGTACCGCCCATGCGCACTCATGAAATGTTGGCCGAAATTCTGAAATGCGTTTTCGATTAGGAATGATTAATATGGCGGCGTTGTAATATTAATTATCATGTAGCATAATCCTATGCAATTTTGGACTCTTTAGGATTTTGACTTTTGAATGCACTTTTTTCTGACCTCCTATAGAAACAGTACTCGGTAAAAAATGACTGCTTTCGTAGCACGCATTTTTCATTTTGGTTTTCGATGGTCGCACAAATTAAAATATATTTTATAGAAAACATGCATAAAATATGCTTTCTTTTACATGTTTGGTAGAAAACCACACGGTCTTTATATTCTATGTCCTAAGAAAGGGTATCTATCGGTTTTTAAAAGTTTTTAATTGTGTGGTTTTTAAGACCGTGTGATGTCCACACATACGTGTCCATACGCACGTGTCCATTTACCAATATTCCTCATGAAATGTACAACACATCCCTTATCCATTGAAAAATTTTATGAACGCTTTATAGTGTTTTTTAAAGGCATAGAGGAATATATGATTTTCCTTAGGCGGAACGCATACAACTTGTAGACTGAAATCCGTAAACGTTAATGCAATGGCTGACTAGGCTCAAAATTATTCGGGGATCGGAAAACTTTTTTAAAACCTAAATGCACCCTTTCTTTGCGTTTAAAATGTGAAGACAATGTGGTCTTTTACCAAACAAGTAAAAGAAAGCATATTTTGTGCGACCATCGAAAACCAAAATGAAAAATACATGCTACTTAAGCAGTCATTTTTTTACCGAGTAAGGTTTCTGTAGGAGGTCAGAAAAAATTGCATTAAAAAGGCCAACATGCTTAAGAGTTCGAAATTCCATAGGATTATGCTACATGATAATTAATGTTACAACGCCGCCCTATAAATCATTCCTAATCGAAAACACATTTCAGAATTTCGGCCAACATTTCATGAGATCGGTCCCGCGCGGTACGTACTCATGTAAACCTGCGACACGACATCCTCCTACACTCTCCCACCAACACATGCCCCACCATCACCGGCATCTTTCAGACTAGTGGGGAGTGGGCTTCTCGGATCATTTTCCCTTGTGTTTCCTCTGCTGTATATCAGACCGAAGCGTTCTATCCCCCTTGTGATTGAACTACTGCTGTGTGCGCGGGGGGGGGCAGGCCGTGCATGTGGTGCGCGCAGACGAGGTTACTATATATATCAGCCAACAGACTATGTCATCCACCCGCACCTGCCAACTGACGGGCTCGGACAGTGACTAGGGCCTGGGAGTGGGAAGGAAGAGTTAGGCCGACGACTCAGCGAATTTTCATCACTATAAACAACCTGAAGTGTCTGAAACTACCGCAGTACGCTAAAAGCCGTGGCTTGGAAAGTTGCCAACTAATGGGATAACTTAGATTTCGGAGTTGATCCAGTGTGCGTTTGTGTGGTACAGCCGACCGGTGGTCTGTGAGTCAGGCTGCAGTGGCTACTTCTTAATGTGGCCCCTTATGGCACTCCCACGGAGTGAGCTTCGATCCGAGTGTGGTGCCACGCCTAGGGACGGCCACAGCCGCGCCAGTCACCTACTCTGTCTCTTGCCTTCGGTCTTCTTAACTATGTCTTGACACCGGCTCCAGATGGGAGGAGAAAGAAAGAGTACGGCAGATGCAGCGCAATTCTACCATTTCTATAAAAAGAATCACGCTCAAGTCATCGTGTCTGATTCACCTTGCTGAGGAGCACACCCTGAACATCTTCGGTCGAACTGTCATGTTGCGCCGCAAAACGGGCCACGCGGTCGATACGCTGGATCAACACGGGAGCCCCATGAGATTCTGGCAGGCGTTGTCGGAATGCTCACCGTAACAAATGCACACATTTGGGGTGTGGTGGAAGCCCCAGTTGCCAGCTTACGTCACGCAAATTGGGATCTCTCTCGCCCCCCTTTGTTTTTGTTGGTTAAAATCCTAGTCGTACTGGATAAGTGGAAGGAACGACCCGATTGGCTTAAGCCACCTTCGTGTTTTCATGTAGCCCTCGCCATAGGACTGTCGATCGAGGGGAAAGGAGTAGAGTATAGAGCAGACAGGGCAGAGAGGGAGGAGAGAGAAGTAGGGGAGGGGGGACGGGTTAGGGAAGGTGGGGGTGAGGAGAAGGGAGGAGAGCGAGGAGCAGAGTTACCGAGTGTGAGGACGCACCACCTGATTCAGTTTGCCGATCGAGGCGGTTACAGGGGTGTGGTCGCTAGACGGAGCCTAATTTTGAGCAGCCACATCTGAGCGTGGGGTGTCAATTAATGGAGGCTAGGCGTAGTCAACATCTGCGAACGAGTGAGCGATCCACTGTGACCGTCACATGAACCCACAACTGGACACCCCTACAGCCCACACACATATCCATGACAGTTCGACCGTCGTGTCCGATGATGTCCACCATGTGCACCATAGCAAGGTGGAGCAGGCACGGTGACTTGCGCGTGGATAAGTTTATACTCAGTGCAGACTCGCGCTGCATCTACCCCAGTGTCTCCTGTGTCCACCACCACCGCACACAATCCTGACAAACCAACAAGCATCAAACCCACGCACCAACGACCCCAGCGATGTGGATTCGACCCATACCTGTCCTCATTGAGACTGCACCTTCGCCTCACACGTAGGCCTGGTCGGTAATTTGCGAATTCATCGCACTGAGACTGAGGAACCAGTGTCTGGAGCACCAACCTACACTCTCCGCATCCGACTCGACTACCCTCACTACATCCGCACATTCACTCACTGCATGGGAGTAGTAGGCCACATGCGCATTCACGATGACGGAATTGACCGCAGTCTGGACACGCCTATCACCTCTTGCACATCCACTATGCCTGACCCAACCCACGTTCCGTCGCCCAGCGAGTCCACCATCAGCAGCTCCATCTCTACCACCAGCTCCGAAAGCGATAAGGACATCAAAGACTTTTCCTGTCATCAGTGTCCCCGTACATTCGCCTCACTCACCGGCCTGGTCAGTCACTTGTGAATCCGTCCCACTGAGACTGGCGAACCGGTGCCTGGAGCACCAACCTACACTCTCCGCATCCGACTCAGCTACCCTCACTACATCCGCACATTCACTCACCGCATGGGACTATTAGGCCACATGCGCATTCAAGAAGTCCTGCGGTAGACAACCGCTGCCTACGCCACACCATTCCATCTTCCATACCAACACCTCCATCGCACAACATCATCACCCACCACAAGCATCCAACTGCTACCTCTGACACAAGCGGGAAGTGTGCGTCTCGGCTCCGTCTCCATGCGGCTCCCCCGCTGCATGTGTGATCCGAGTCCGAGACCATCAAGGTGCGTTAAGCACCGTGGCTTGGAAGGCTGCTGACTGACGCCATAACTCACTCCACGGAGTCTGCCTAGTTGTGTGTGTGTGTGTGTTGTGTGGAGTGGTGAACTGGTAGGCTGAGAGCCAGGATGGAGCGGCTCCATCTTAATGGGATCTGTGACACACTCATGCATGTGGGATGTACGCCGCCTAACCACCGTTGTGTGAAATTCTGGTGCTCGTGTTTGGGGGGCCAGGTCGTGCACGTGACGCACGCAGAAAATGTCACTAGATATGTAAACCACAGCACCTGTCAACTGACCGGCTCGGACAGCAATAGGTGCCCGGGAATCGGAAGGCAGATTGTGTTCGACGACCCAGCGCATTTTCCTCACTATAAACAATCTGACGCGCTGAAAGCTATCATGGTGCGTTAAAAGCCGTAGTTTGAAAGGTTGCCAACTGACGGGGTAACTTGGACAACGCAGTAGGCCCAGTGTTGTGTTTGTGTAGAGTGGCCGATTGGTGGTCTAAGAGTCAGGCTGCAATGGCCCCTTCTTAATGTCGACTTTATGACACTCTCACTCCGCGGGATCCGAGCCTGGTGTAACGGCACGCCTGGGTTCGACTTCGGCCGTGTCAGCCCCTTTTGTTGTCGTCGGTTAGAATCCTGGTCATTTGCTGTGTGGAGTAGAGCGCCGAGGTGCGGGCTCAACTGCGCCATCCACCTGCGTCCAGTATTGTTGAATCTGCCTTGCCAATGAGTCCAGGTTTGGGAGGAGAGAGTGCGGTAGATGCTGTGTAAGTCTATATTCCCAATAAACTAAATCACGCGCAAGTCACCGTGCCTATTTCACCTCGTTGTGAGGCACGCGGTGAAAATCGTCGGCAGCGACGGCCGTGTGTGTGTGTGATAATCCCGTATTAGCACGCTGTCTGACACTTGTGTACGATACTTTCCACAGTATTTCCGGCCGTGCTGTCTGCTATGCTGTTCTTGAAGACTGAACTGAGAGAAACGCCCATCCGTAACAACATTTCACGACAGTCCGAGCGTCGCCACCGGTGACATCCATCGTGCGTCCCACCACACCGTGGTGGGCGATGGAACGTGGATTTTTGCCTGATCTAGATTTTCGGTGAGTGCAGACTCGTGCAGTATCTACCGCGCCCTCTCCCCCTCACCATCCAAAGTAGCCTGTCAAGGTGGAGTTCAGAACACTGGAAGCGTAGTGGTTGACAATGCTAAACAACTCGTCCACGCGTGCCCCACGCGTGATTGGGCGCAGGATTTCATTGACTGCGGTTGAGGTCCCAAGTAGATGAGAGTGCTGAATGGAGCCATCGCAGTCTGACCCACCGTCCTGACAGGAGGAACGAGTTATCCTGCGACTTGGCTGCCTTCCAATTCGGAGCTTTTAGAGCACTATGCTATTTTTAAAGCGCATCAGATTGTTTATATTAAGGAATATTTGCTGATTGTTGTGGGAACGGAGTCCCGAGAGTCGACCTCACTCTCCCTCTCTCCCTCCTCCTTCATCTTCCATTTCCCAGGCACTAATCCACTGTCTGAGCCGACTTACCTTTTGCTTTTGCGACTCGGTGAGGCGGTCGATATTGCGGTTACCTCCGCTTTTTTCCTGGTGCGCATGTTAACGAATAGGCCCATGCGATGTGCGAATTTGCGTGTACAATGCGCGCAGTGGAGGCGGATGTATGTCAGTCCGGTGCGCACTGGTGCGCCGGTTACAGTGTCATGGGTTCTCAAGTGACCGACCCAGCTGATGCATGAGATGGGTGTACAATCGCAATGAGAACAATTTGGGACTACGTCAACGCCACTGGAGGTGCAAGTTGTGGTAGGGCCGTTGATGGCGTTGGTTGAGATCGTCGCCGCCAGGGTAATTAAGGCAGAGAAGACGTAGGTGGCGGTGATCAACCCCAGTGAGGCACAGAGATTCGGAGTAATATTGGTGAGACTGAGCGTCGCCGTGGTCAACGTGCAGTTTGGGGCGGGGGCGGTCGTTAAGGCAACGATTTCAGCTGTTGGGTGGTTTGTGCGCTGGGTTCGAAAATGACCTTCGAGGTCGGTCCACATGCAGAATGTTCGTTAACAGCGAGGGCATGTTGGGTGGGGTTGGGTGACGATGTTTTGGGTCAAGGACGAGTGTGACTTTCGAGCTTCTCCTTTGGGCTTTGGCGGCGGCGGCTGCGGCGGCGGCGGCGATCCGATTTGCTTCGTAGATTGCTGCGTCAGCCTTCACTGCTTTTCTTCAGTTAGAGCTGTTCTGAACGAGGACCTCTGACGTCTCGTCAGAGAGTTCTCCAGAGTGTTCTTGTAGAGTCGTCGTTGTCCTCCCGATCGGCGAGCACCCGTAGCGGCGTCATCCCCGTGGAAGAGTTGATACTTCACAATTGCAGTTTCCTCAACATGGCGCGGGTGCTCATGGATTCCTGTCTGTTCAAGAACCTCAGGGTCTGGGACCGGGCTTTGGCATATAACATTGTTCGTATGTATTACTAGTCGTTGTTGGACTGCCTATGAGGCTCTAAATCGTCTCCAAAGACGCAATGGTTGGAGCGTTTAAGTAATAACGCGGAGAGCGGATTTGAGTCTCAGGTGCCGCCGGACCTGGTGTGGGATAAGAATGGCAGACGACGGCTAAAAAGCTAGAAAAGGCCATGCCGTCTCCCAAGTGAGAGACTTTTTCATGCGAATGTGCCTTGTTAGCCTGCCCGCATGATCATCAGGAGTACACAGACCTGACTACTTGCCAATAGATTGCGCTCACGCAAAGTGATACCGGTAGATTTGCGGATAAAGCGAACAGTGGGTGCTAGGGAACAGTGGAGGAGAAGAAAATGCGATCACTATAACAAGACTTTAATTCCTTAAAGTAACACATCGGGGCCTCGAAACAATCATCAGCATCAGCAGCAGCAGGAAGCGGTGGAGAAAGCAATGGGCGCGTCATTCCAGTTTGTTCGAAAAGCGACAAATAATGCCAAAGCAAATGAGTCAGTAACAGTCAAAAACGGTCTCGGTGGCCAACCCCTATTTCTACAGGAAGCCCAACCGCCTCCATTCACCTTCACATTCAACATTGGCTCCAACTACAGTGTAGCGGCTCAATGAATGTCATAGTCATGTACTCTGGCCATGCTATTATTCAAATTGCTTCCGGATTGATGTGCACCAGTTTCGTCTGCTTGCGAGTCGTCTATGGGCAGCTACGCAACGAAACCGCCTGGCGGCGGATAAAGCCTACCTAGGCAGTCTTTACAGGGTTTCCCGAGAACCCAACAATGCCCGTGTCATGTGGCGGGACGTTAACGACACATTGTTCCGTTGAGAGAAGGAAGATTCAATCAGTGAAATAGGAATTCGATGCACCTCTCTCTTCCGATTCACTATCTGACTCATCATTGGAGGTGGCAGCAGTGGACAGAGACATTTAATTGTCACATGTCCAGCCGGTTCGCGCTAGGGTTAGCAGAGAAGCCCGCACCCCGGTTGTCGAACCGGTCGCCCGTGCGGACGAGAGATGACTCACCTCTAATTCGGGGCGTATGATCCCGTAGGAATGTTTGCCACAGACCTGACTGCCAATCTACTCACTCGCTATTAAGGACTGGGGCTTCCACTACAGCACGGCTTTCCAGCATTTTTCATGCCCTGGACCCCTCAAAATATTTTGATACGCCCACGTACCCCTTAACACAGTTCCTAAAGAACTAAAGCAAAGTCCTTTAGTCAAATTTTAACAATAAACAGAAGACTATTGATTCTTTTTCTCCTGTATATTGGATGAGATTTTCGAATCGTGACACTGTTGCCAATAGCGATTCGCGGATCTGCTTGTGCATTCAAGCTACTTTTGAATGTTGTTTTGATTGAGAAAAGGGCAGTAGACCTAGACTTGCTTAAGTATGTCGACGCAGATGAAATGAACGTAAATTGGGCCTTTTCATCACGTTTGGGAATTTATTCATCGGCGAACACCCATAATGTTCCAAAACATTGCCGTCAAACAGCATTTCATGAACACGCTTTATGAGCATTTCTAGAAGATCTTTCTTCAGTTCTTTATCATTCGACGTCTTATCAAAACTGAAAGAGTGCGGGTTTATAACCAATCTTTCCGGAGTATTCAGTTCTCCTCTTTCAAAATACCCACCACAGAACTTTGGTATCATTCTTAAATTATCCACATTTTTTTCATATAGACTTCCAGTGGTGGAAAATTAGAAAGATTCCCATTCCTAACTCGTCGACACAAAAGTTGTAACTTTTTTTAGAAACCATTTATCATCTCGTAGCATACCAATATGTTTCCATTTTTCTATTGGATAGAGGCATTCAGGTCATTCAAACGAGTGAAATTATCACTCAAATAAGCCAAGAGCATGTGTAATTCTTGTAATATTTAAAGCAACATTTCCCCGGAATGAATTTAAAGCAAGCAAGGACAGCAGAATTCAATGGCACCAGAAAATTTCGCGACGGATTCTCAACTGCAGCCTGTCGTTGCATAACACAGATAACAAGGGAGAATGGTACAGAGGTTTGAATTTCGACAGAGAAAATCAATATAAAACAGCAAGGTCATCGTATACTGAGTGTAGACTAATTTATAAAAGGATAACTTCAAAATGCAACAGAGGAATGAAAAAGGGGATGTAAACATGCTGAGAGATTT